AGTAACCATTTTTTTTTTTGACTCATCAAATTTTCAAGGAAAATGCCTTAAAATTCCATGCAGAAACAATGTTTTCTGACTAGAAAATATACTCACCTGGAGACAATGTTATAGTATTAGCTACAGTCAAGCCAAAGGTAATGTTAAATAAAAGATGGAATTTAATTGTTAATTCTTTCAGAGGCTACTGAAGACAGGGTAGAAAATGCCAAATATGTTCTCTGTGGTTTGTCTACTAGTGATTCTCTTCTTGCCTTTTGAACTGCCTTAAAAGGAATCTATCCCTGTTTTCAGCCCTTGAGGGTCCTTTTGTACTATGTGAATCCCTTTCATTACACATACAGCTGGTCAAGGCCTAAGAAACAGAACTACGATAAGTTAATCTATTCCTTAGAATCAGTTCTTCCACCCCTTGAAATCATAGACATTGTTGAGCATAGAATAATGGGAGAGGAAAGGGCTAAGGAGAAGCATCAAGGGACACAATGTTAAGATAGACAGTGTTAGTTAGGATAGGCAGAGGGGAAGGGTCAACAGGTACAATGTCAGGTTAGACAGGAGGAGTAAGTTCTGATGGCCTATGGCGTAAAGAAAGGTGAACATAATTAACAATGATTTCTCGTGTATCTTGAAATGTAATATTGTTATATAGCAGAAAGAATTTGGAATGTACTCATAATAAAGAAAGTAAAATGCTAGAAGTATAAGACATGTCAATTAGAGTGAGCTGATATAACCCAGTGTTGCCATGAGTTAAAACATTACATTGTACCTCGTAACAATGTACAGATATTTTGAATTAATAGTTTTTTTTAACAATAGAAAACAAAATGGATTCTAAAAGGTCACATAGATTTTGAGTTATATTTCTTGCTGAATTTCATGTTTTGATTTGGTTCAAAGGGCTCTGGACCATTCTGAGTGTGTGAGAAGTTAGCATTTATGTAATAATAACCTGTGGTAAAAACCCTTTTTTTTGATAGGCTAATTATTACCTATTCTACAGATTGTTATGTGTATAGAAGACAGCAATTCAGTTCCTGGACAGAAGGTGAGATGCCTGGACCACACCTGTGTATGTGTGATTTTATCACTATTTTCATAGCATCTGGACAAAGGTCACTAGAAAGTTTAGTTTAAAGGCCCTGAGCTCTGTCCAGACTGCTTTTAAAAACAACTGACAGCTTATTTTAAAAGGCAGAAAAAAATTACATTTTTTAGTACTTGGAGAATAATAAAAACAAGAGAAAGACATACAGGAAGATTCAAGATTAATGAAAAAAGTAGAAAAGACTAAGATTTGTTTGAATACACCCTTTAAATATGTATATTTAATCAGGGAGAAAAAACTTCAAAGGCCTTCAAGAATGAACACATTAATTTGGGGGCTTGAGATTATCAACTAATGTGAAAATTGTCAAAGGTTTTAGTTTACTGTAAGATCAATGTTATTTAATAATGCATAACATATTAGCTTGCAGTCTATTTTATGAAAATCAACATTCCACAAAATGTGTGCTTTGTCATATTCATTCTAACCATTACAAGAAAATAAATTTTCTGAGGGCTAGGCTAAATACACTTCAAGAGGTTACATAGAACCAGGCTTTTAAGTATGCTAGATTTCAAGTTGGCCATCCAAACCAGAGTGATATGCTAGGAACCATGTCTCAAGCATCACCTATATAAATTCTTTTCTAGACAATTTCAAGTTTGAGAGTTCCAAAGACTACATTAAAAAAAAATGCCTAACTACAACTTTCGCACGATAGTTTATAAAACAGAAAAAGACACAGAAAAAAAAAATTCACATTAGGAAAAGAATAAACAACCAGTTAACAGGATCAAAACTTAAGGGAATTATAGGTCTATTTTTAAAAATCAATTTTTGTGTAAACTTAAGATATGCAGCATGATGTTTTAGAATAGAGAAATAGTAAAAAAAAAAAGGTTATTATAGTGAAGTGAATTAATATATCTGTCATCACATGGCTAACCTCTTTTTGTTGTTTTGTTTTGTTTTTGTGGAAGGAGTAGCTAAAATCCACTCAGCAGAAATTCCAACTATGATATAATTTTATTAAGTGCAGGCCTCATTTTGCCATTTTCTCTCTAGAGCTATTCATTGCACATGTGTTGCTTTGCATCCAGGGGCCTATATTTCCCATTTCCATCCTCAGCTTCTGTGTCTAGTAACCATTGTCTTATTCTCTCTGTATATTTGACTTTTTATTTTTATTTTTTTTCAGGTTTGACACATAAGTGAGATCATGCAATGTTTTCATTTCTGTGTCTGGCTTATTTCACTTTGCATAATGCCCTGCAACTTCATCCCTATTTCAAATGACAGGATCTCTTTTATTAAGGCTGAATAATATTCCATGGTATGTACGTGCCAGAATTAATTTGTCCCCTGATGAATACCCAGATTATTTCCATATCTTGGCTATTATAAATAGTGGTTCTGTGAATATGGCAGTGAAAATACTTTTGTGAAATTGTGATTTCACTTCCTTGGGTGAAATGCCTAGAAAAAGGACGTGGGACCACATGGTAGTTCTATTTTAATTTTTTTATAAGACCCCATATTACTTTTCGCAAAGGCAACCCCATTTTTCTTTCCCACCACCAGGGTACAGGGTTCCCTTCTCTCCACACTCCCTTGGCTTTCTGATCATAGCCATTCTGACAGGTGTGAGGAGCAATTTCAGTTGCTTTGGTTTGCTCTTCCCTGATGACTAGTGCTAGTGATTTTTTTCAGACTACTTTGCTGACAAATTTATGTCCAATATAAAATGTTAGAAAAGTGTCCACTTAGGTCCATTCTCCATTTTTATCCAGGTTGTTTATCTACTGCTGAGTTGTATGAGTTCTTCATAAATTTTGGCTATTAATCTCTTTTTCAGAGATAATGGTTTTGCACATCTTCTTTTTTTCTGAATTTATAGTTTGATACTTAATTTTGTTGCTTGTTTCCTTTGCTGTGCAGAAGATGTTTAATTTGTAGTAGTCACGTTTATTCTTTCTTTCATAACCTGAGGTTTTAGTATGACATCCAAAACAAACAAACAAACAACAACAAACAAACAAAAAAATCCCAAACAGTGCCACACCAATATCTAGATATTTTTCCCCTGTGTCTTGCTATGGTCTAAGTGTATCCCCTAGAACATATGTGTTAGTCTTAATCCTCAAAGTAAAAAGATGTGAACTGGGGAGTGTTGTTTAGGTGAGAACGGCCACATTCTCATGAAGGCAGTAGTGCTGTTGTAGAAGGGATTTCCAGAGGTGGGCTTGCTCAGACCACCTACCTTCCACCCTGTCAGGACACAGCAAGAGGGTCTTCATCAGATGCCATCACCTTGACCTTTGAATTCCCAGACTAAAGAACCTTGAGGAAGCAAATACCTGCTGTTGACCACCAAACCAGAAACTATGATCAAGTTACAAGGAACCCTACTGGGCCAGTTAGGGAGGGACAGGTGCAGTGGGTGAGGGGGCAGAATGTAGCCAGTGAGAACCAGCACAGGTTTGACCTGCAGGTACGTGATCATTTCCTGAAAATAAGGTGGAGTAAGTTAGAGTCTGTTTATATGAGAATATTCTGACAGAACAGACACATTTAATGTCTCTGCAGAACCTGGGAGGGGCTGTAAACACACTGCAAGAGTCACTCTTACCACACTGGAGTAAGAAGAGGCCCACGTTAAATGGAGCCGAAATACCTCCACTGCCCTGGCAAATAATAAAATGGAGTCAAAAGCCACAGAACAAACATGGAGAAATTCTCAGATGGGATTGTGTTCTGTATATCAGAGCTGACTACAAGAGATGTTTGTATAAAAATGTGCTTGGAGAAAAACAGATACGGGATCCCCGAAAAACAGTCTTCAGGGTGGAGAGTTCAAACTTCAGACTCATGATGAACACGAATGTAACGAGCGGCAAGGTTGCAGGAGCAGTCGGAGAGCAAACCTGAAGAACACAGAAATGTTACCTAGATCATGGCATCTTGAAGAGCCATGCAGATAGAAAGTCAATGTTGCTGATTTATTCCATCAGAAGAAATTTGGGATAAGTGATAGAAGTTGGTTGCCTGAACAAGGTTTTATATATATAAAATAGAAGTTCATGGTTCTGAATCTCCATTATAGCAAGAAAATGGCTTCTATGGATTTGTGCAATCATTGACTTGTTCAAGCCCATCCTTAATTCTATCTTCTTGAAGCCAATGTAGAGACATAAAATGAATTTGGACCTATCTATGCAAGTAATAAACAGCAGACAAATGCTTACTATTTGGATGAGGACAGAAAATTTATTTCCACTATAAGTGGAGAAAGCTAGAACTGTCATTCTGGTAAATGTCAGCCTTTGTCCTAATCTACAACCACTACTTAGCTTGGTGTTGAGAGAACACATTTAACTGATTAATTTAAACCCACCAATAGAACATTAACAATACTCGAGGTCCTCAAACAATCAGACTGCCCAAGCATATCCCACATAGCCTGATGTAGGTATCTCTCAACAAAATTTTACCACTGAATATAAGGTGAGTGATACATTTTTATCACAGTGGGGTTTTTTTAACATTAATACACCTTAATTATATGAGCTGCTTGTTAAACCACAGATCTTAGATTATGCCTTATTACCAAGCTTCTAGGAGACATTAGTGTTACTGCTAGCCCACAGACTATAATTTGAGTACAAAATTCTTGATTCAGGGCAACTCAAATGTTGTTGCACTTGATAAAATTATAGTTTAAAGTGAAATACCTCTTACATTCCTCCTTTCCACAGTCTTTAGTTTTCTTAGGATGCAATATGAGATCTCTCTACCCCTTTATGTTGGCTTGTGCAAATACCAAATAAGAATCTGAAATTGATATTCTAGCATTAGTTATGAAAATGAACACACACTCAAAGCATACGTTAACATATTGAAGGTACTGCCAGTGTGCCTAATTATCAGTATTTCTGCTTTCCAGAGGAAGATGGCATTCTATATTCAAAATAAAGACTAGGAGATGACTGAAGACTCCTGGAAAAGGTGGAGACCCAAGCTTTCCAGGACCTACGGACAGTGAGATCACACCATACCAGGTTCAGGGTCTTGGGAAAAGGTAGGAAAACAACATCAGATCAGCAATTTTAAGGAAAGGAAGAGAACATAATGTATCTCACTTTGGAAATACTTTTATTTCAAACTAAACACCCCTGCAAACACATTAGTGCCTCATGCTGGTGCTACTGGAAAGTTCCTTCCGTCCTTTTGCAATAACAGAAACAATATCTGGCACTAGCATGGCCCCTGAGAACAAACTAGAAGATAGACTCTGCCTTTCCATCGTCAAAAGAGAATTTGATGATGATAATTTTAACAATATCCTACTAGGAATGGTAGGCATAAAAGAATTCTTTATTCTAGCTCTCAGAGTTAGTTTTAAGCCACTTTTGGGACTATGAATTGTCACCTTTAATGATGAGAAAATCATCATACTCTATTGCTACATAAAACTTTTAAGTTTCATGTTTAGTCCTTAAATTTCAATCACAAGTTGACTAAATTGAAGCTCTTAGTGATAATATTAGGGCTCAGGAAAAGCGCCTGGCATTGTCTGAAAGGCCAGCTAGCTGTTCTGAGGAGGAGCAGCACACATCCATTCACCTTTCCCCTCAGACATGTTCTTGATAGAGGCGTCCACAGACCTGGCCCTTCTGTATACGTGTTTTACACATGGCCCGCCTGCAGCCATGGGAGGCTCTCAGCCGTGCAGGTGTTGAGTTCCCAGTCGCCCCTCTTTCTGTTTCCCCTCTGGGACAATTAGAGGGCTTAACTCACAAATCTCCTTTCTTCCCGCTTCACCAGGTACTGAGTTCTGAGTATGTCAGAGTAAACAAAAAGATATAAAAATTTACTTAAAATAAACTTATTATTTTCACACTTTGTTATGGTTTGGGCGTGAGGTATCCCCCCCAAAGCTTGCATGTGAGACAATACAAGAAGGTTCAGAGGAAAATGATTGGGTTGGTTAGAGTCTTGACCCAATCAGTGATTTAATCCCCTGATAGGGATTAACTGAGTGGTAAGGGAAGTGGTGGGGTGTGGCTGGAGGAGGTGGGAATTGGGTATATACTTGTATCTGGCAAGTGGAGTCTCTCTCTGCTTCCTGGTCACCATAATGTGAGCTGCTTCCCTCTGGCACACACTCCCCATGATATTCAGCCTCAACTTGAGCCCTGAAGATTGGAGTTGGCCTTCTATGGACTAAGACCCCTGAAATCATGAGCAGTCAAATTTTTCCTCCTTTATAGTTATTCTGGTCAGAACCTTTAGTTACAGCAGTGAAAAGCTGACTAAAACACACTTTTTTTCTGACAATAGATCAGAATGTTATTAGGTTGCTGATGATTTTAGGAAAAAAATGTGATTAGAAATTTTATTAGCCATTTTGCACAGAAGAAATTTTAAAAAAACAGTTTTCTAAGAGAAGGTGGTAATCTTTATTGTTTATATTCATTTCACAAGGCTGAATGTAATGATAGTAAAAAAAAAAAAAATTCTTCCTAAAAGGAAGGAGCCTTTATTTATTTCAAACTGAATTATAAATTATTAGCTGCTGTCTTTCATAAATAGTTTAGCTTATGGTCTAATTTATCTCAATTAGTGTGTTAGTTACTTTGATAGATGAATGCATTAATATCAATTGGGTAATGACTAACTTGAATAGGTATCAGCCTACAAAATATTTTGCATATTTAGTGAAAAAAGGCTCAGAAACAATGCTAGACCTAAATAACCTAACCCACATTTTTAATTTAACTTTATTTCAACTGATACATAAAAACATCACACAAGTATAATTCATTCAAAATTATAAGTCTACAACAGATCATATATTTTACATATTATGTTAAATTTCAAATGACAAAAAATCATAATTATTTAAAATAATTCAAGAAAAATGAAAGTAGAGAAGTTCTATTGCCGCAGTTTGGCTGGGCACAAATAACAGGGAGGTCACGAGCCTCTTATAGATTCAAGCAGGAACTAACTTTATTCTCCAACCCAAGCGAACTCCATAGGAACTACTAGAGAACTCAACAGGGAACTCAATGAAAACTCTGCGAGAACTCAAAAGTAGCGGCCACCCAAGACAGCAGGAGCCACCCCTTCTGGCAACATGCCAGGCACCATCTTGACCTGGACTTGGCTCTCAACATTCTACTAGAATCAATTGTTGCATAAACAAGGAGGGGTTATGAAGTGAACCCTAGACTCACTTCTCTGCAATAGAACCCCAGTTCTGTCCACTACCAACTTGGAGACAATCTGAGAGTCCATGCACATTTTCAAACCTTATATTTATATTTGTGAAATGAAAAATGAACTATTTGTATTAGTCAGGGTTCTCTAGAGGAAGAGAAGTGACAGGAGGTATCATTGTAAAAAGGGGATTTATTAGATTGGCTTATGCAAGCAGAAGCTGGATAGTCCACAGTGGCCTTCTGCAGGCTGGAGAGCTGGAGGACACAAGGACACAGTAGCTTCACAATTCAAGATGCTGAAGCCTCAGGACAAGAGGGATTAATGATGCTACCTCAGTCTGAGACCAAAGGCTTCTGGAAACTCCCTGGAGAATCACTGGAAGAGTTCACTTTGAAACAGTGAAGAAGTAAGAGTCTGATATCCTCAGATCATCACAGCAGCAATCAAGAACCTGTTTGAGAAGAATCAAGCTAGCTTCTGCTTCTGCTTCCTTGTTCTTCCAACTTTTATTCTGTCCAAGCCTCCAACCCATTGGACAGTGTTGCCCATATTTAGGGAAGGTCTCCACTTCAGTTCATTGTCCCATCAGCCGATCATTCCTAGACACACCCACCCAGAATTGCAGTCATATTTTAATCCAATCAAGTTGACAATTCAAATTAACCATTGTACTATTTCTATCCTGGGAATTTTTCAGGAATTATGTAAACTGATATAGATAGAGAGCTTGGCAATTGCCTGACAGATGAAAGGTTTAGTTAAAGTTAGATGTAATCATTATTATTAGCACTATTATTATCTTTGAAGTACAATTGATAAAAGAAAAAAAGCACAATGTTAATGTATTTTTTTCAGTTAAACCATATGATAAATATTAGGGATACTTTCACTTCAGACCGTTTTTGTAAACGCTAGCTGAGAACTTATAGTTATTAGCATTCTTATATAAGAGAGGACTCAGGCTCAGTCACAGATCTTTCCTTGAAACACATCTGGGAATTTTTCACACAATCTCCCCTTGAAACATATCTGGGAATATATGATGTTCATCTGGGATGCTGTCCTCTAGCTTCTTGAGAACTGGTAACACAGATCAATAGTAAAGAATTATTACTGCATTTCATACCTTAAAAAATTCATATATGCTTTTAACTTATTTTTTTTAATTTGCTAATTAAAATGAGCTGTGAATTTATGAAGAAATAAAGAAGTCAATGATCCAAAGATCCCTCCATATTATTCAATCATAACCTGACTCAAATTAGTAATAAATGTAAATAAGTTTTTAAAAAGCACAAGTATAAAATGCTTAGAATAAAAATATATTTAGTGATAATAAATTTAAAATTTATTTCAGATCTTTGTGTTCATATTTATGGTAATTTTAAATGATACTAAATACAATTAAGCATTACATACTTTTCATTCCACATATACATTAAGGACATCAATTTCTTACCAGTTTTACATATCTCCAAAACTTTTGATACATAATACTCACATGTTTCAAGTTTTTAATTGTCAATTTTGCCCCTACTACAACTACAACAGCTAGAAGATAGTCAATTGTGGAGCTTACCAGGGGCTTTCCATTTACCCATGAATCCCAAGTGTTTATTAATTCAAAGTGTGATGGGATCCAAATGCTGGAGAAAAGGGAAGTCCAGAATCTAATCACTCTTGTTTTACTCTGGCATTCAATCTCTTCAAGGAGGGCTGGTGCTTCTGGACAAATATCTACTTACGTGTCCCCCACAGTAACAGTATTGACAGTAAGGAGCTTGCTGGTTCCACACGTTGCCCAAGATCCCTTTTCCTAAACTTACCGTGGTCGGGGTAGAGGCAAGAGGAAATTCAATGGCATACAGATTGTTCCTGCTTGGATTCCCCATGTGGTTCATGCACTAACCGGACTCAACAGCTCAGCCTACCATGTTGTGTGACACACTGATTCCTGTTGACCCCAGAAAGTGTTCCCAGAGAACAGGTCATCCCTCCTTAATTATTAATAATCAATCCTTGTATGTCCTTGCTTCCCTTACAAAAGACCCCATAAGTGAAACCAGAATTAGACAGGCAATCATTATAGGAGGCAAATCAGTGAGACTGGATCCAGGAAGCCAATTTGGTCTGGAACATTGGAGAGAGATTGAAATCCTAATACCTTCACAGCCCTTCCTCCACCCTAATCATGATAACCTGCCCCGGCTCCAACCTGTTGCTAAGGTAAGCTGTCCCAGGGATTGTCCCTCCTTAAAGGGAGTTGTTAATTATGCCCCCTTCCTGCCCTGATCACACCACCTTGGCCCCTCCAGACCATCTGCTTTTCACCTTTTGGCCATCCCACCCAGCATCCCCAGGGCTTCATCATGTATGAAGGAAAGACAGATAAGAGAAAGAGAACAGGAGAGCAAACGAAGCCTAGCACATACAAAGGGCAGAACACCCTCGCTCCTTGGGATACCAAGATACCAGCTATGGTCCCATCTCCCTCCAGAGAGAAGTCTATGTTACTCCTTTTAAAATAAAACCTGCATTATATGCTTGCCTCAGTGTGCTTCTCTAAAGTTATACTTCAACATGTGAGGGAGCAGAACATATCACCAATAACCAGTGGTATCATACATACAATGTAAATTAATACAGATTCCTTGAGAAAGCAGCTTTGAATACAAAGTACAAAAAAGATGTCCTGATTTGCATTTTTCCTTCCATACCTGAAATTCTTAGAAGGTATCCTCACAACATGAAAGCTTGAAAAGGCCGAAAAATCCTGCTTTTTTGGACACATCAGAGATCTAAGGTCATGGCCAGCCACCCCTGTGGAAATGAGGTAGGAAAGTCCAGATGGGC